TTTAGGATTCCCTATTTTTAATGCTCATACAGAGATTTCTTTAACTGAAATACCGAATAGTTTCTTTGGTGTGAAAAACTATAATTATACACAGGATCCTAATGAGACAATTAATAATGTGAAATAGGAAGTAAAGGGCTAAAGGTGTAAGGAAAGTGGGAAGGGTGGGGGAAAGATAATAAGGGAGAGGAAAAATATATGAGAAACTGAAAAAGTGGAAATAAAGTGTGTGTAAATGGGGAGGGGAGGAGAGGGTGGAGGGAGGGCAGGGACAAGGGGAAAAATGAGAATCAAGACCTATTATGTAAAGGTACAGAATCCCAATGATGAATGTAACTGTATTGTATACCTAGATTGTACCAATAACCTCAATAAAAAGAAAAAAAAATCTGAGGCAGCGTCCTCCTAAGTAAAAATAAATAAATAAATAAAATAATAGCTACTCACGGTTACCATTCATTTCCTGATGAAACAGGAAAATGGCAGGGAGTAGGAAAAGCAAACTATTCCAAACCCTCTTTCTATGTCACTTCCTATGCAAACCCTCATCTCTGAGAGGGTGAGGAGGGTATCTGGCTATTCTCACACTGGGTCCCCTTCATTTATCAAAGTAGTGTATTGTTTTCTGTAAAACCAGGCATTGAAGATTTCAGCTCACAAATGCTCATGTTTCATGGGTAAGTGACTAGAAATTCTCCAGCTGACCAACTTAGGATCCTACCACCATAAAATACTGAACCTTTACTTATCTAGTTTCAAGTACTCATTGAATACTATTATACTTCTGGCTCTATGTTTGGTGTTTAGGATACAAAACCAAAGTACAATCGCAGTTCTTAAAGAGCTCATAAGCTGTCAAAAAACCCCTCAGACATTCATTTATTTTGCAACAGTGATGCACTGAGTGCCTACTATGTGATAGGCCTTGGGGGAACAGAAAGCCTACCTATAGCCAACTGGACATAGTGATCTTCGTAAAGCTTAACCATTGACTTCCCAATCTGTTTAAATTTCTTTCAAGAGGCCTTGTGGGGCGTCCCTGCCTACTTCTCCAGGTTTGCCCTCCTGACAAAACCCCTACACCTACTGTTAAAGTGCTCAAAACATGTCATGTTCTCTCACTTTTGTTTTTTCAAAAGCCTTCCCACTCTATGGTTTAATGTTAGGAAGACCATCCTGGTAGCAATATGGAGTATGTATTGGAGTGGAGGGTAAGTCAGGTGGAGGATTATTACTGTTAGTAAGAAATGAAGGCTTAAAAGTGACATACTAATGGAGGGCAGAAAAGAGGAGCCAGTAAGAAAAAGCTTTGGAGAGTCACACAGATAAGCGAGAAGAGTAACTGCAGAGCAAAGAACAGGATGGGAAGTCTATTGTCCCAGGTACTTGTTTTCTCTCTAATAAATCAGTGGTTTATTTAACAAGATCATTTCTACACAGGACTGTGGTTGAGACCAATTGTGTGTGACATGTGGTATGAAGAGACCAGTGTACAATCGTAGATCTTACATAGTTCTTCCTTGGATTCCCCCATCTTCTTGCTTAGCAGTAAAAGGCTTTTTCAGTTGATATAAACATATTCTTCACAACTGCCATCTTCATAGAGTACAAATAGCATGGAGCATTTAGTAAATAAGTCACAGGCCAGAAAGATCAACTGTGCAGTTGTGACATCTATGTCAAAGTTTCTGAAGCCTTAAGAGCGGGTGATCTGCAGTGTTTCCAACATGTCAGCTGCCTTAAGAAGAGTATTTGGTTTCCTTCTTACCGCAACCTGCACACTGGTAAGCTCTGTTGATCTGATCAGCTGTCCAACTTACATACTTCATGCTGTTCTTCTTCATTTTTGCACTTGCTTTTGGATTAGATGCAATGTGACCTGCAGACATGTAAAGCCAAACAAAGCTCTCAGGTTTCTGTTGTTCAGTTTCAATGCCTGTACAAAATACTTTCTTGAAAGTTTGAGCTTTTCAGTCCACCTTGGGTATATACTGCTGGCAGTACAGGTGGTTGTGGGGATTGGTCATCATGAGCTCCTCCAGACAGAAGGCTGCTTTTGCGTAGTCACGTTCATTGATACGAAGTTCTGCAAGCTCACGCCAGGCATCTTGATCACAAACAAATTGCTCCAGATACTCATTCAGCTCCAGAATGGCCTCCACATTTTCCCCCTGGGCTTTGTGGATGGCAATCTTAGGCTTTCTTACAGCAGTGTAAGTTGGATCTTCTTGCAAAATTCGATCATACAGCTGTATAGCATCATACTGTTGTATAGCTTCAAATCTCTTGCCTGTTAATCACTTGACTCTGTGGCCACCAGGGAACTGTCTTCTTAACTCCCAAAGACAGAACAATGCCAAGTCATCCAAATTGCAGTCTAGGGCTGCAATCATGACCTGCTCATATATGATCCAAATAGCATCTCCAAGCTTACAGGCATACTTGCTAACTAATTCTTTTCCACCTTCCACAATTTGCTCACTATTTCTTCAGTTTCTTCTCTCCATTTTCTCATTTTATCTCTCATCTCTTCCCAAGTGACATCGTAGAACTCTGAGACCTTCACCATCTTCCCAGAACCTGCAAGCACCGTGTTCCCAGGTATATGATTTGGGCAACTCAGAGATGACAGCCCTTCCTGCAAAAAAAGGAATTCCTGTGTGGAGAATTAGTGGGCAGTAATAATGATGGCAGAGAGGGTGGAAGGAGTGAGGACAGCTAGTTTAGATTTGCGAAAGTGGAGCTGTACAACAGGTAGCTACGTAGGTAGATTTGAAGTTATCACTTTCAGATGGGTCTCAGGAGACAAACATGAGCTAGGGGTGTAGATACAGACTTTTTTCCTTGTTTGCATATCAAAACTAGTAGGCCAAAACTTTACTTTTAACGAAGTCATTTAGAGGAAATTTATAGTGAAGAGAACAGAGACCTGGAGGTGTAACTATGGAAACATTAGCACGAACAGATGAAGGGAAAAAGGAGGGTTTTGCCACAGGTGGAGATGGAACAGCTGGGGAGGCCAGAGGAGAAAAAGGGTTCAAGACAAAGGAAGTACTCAGCAGAGTTGAGTTAGATAAGGACACAGGGCAGCTTTAGCAATTAGATGGATGGGAATTATGCTTGAAGCAATTGTTGGATGTGGGAATTATGAAGAGAAGAAAGTACAAACACAGTGTGGAAGAAGGAGAGATTCATATCCTGGGACCGAGGTTGTGAGGCTGGCCTAGACCAGCTCCTAGAAAGCCTCCCATGTAGTGTCCGCATGGGGCTCATTCTATAGATAACAGGGAACAAATACAGAGGCCAATGTATTGCTTTTCTTTTTAGATACCATTTTTTATTTTTTAATTTAATTTAATTTTTATTTTATTTTTTTGGTACCGGGGATCGAACTCGGGTCCTTGTGCTTGCGAGGAAGGTGGCGGAACCACTGAGCTAAATCCCCGGCCCTAGATACCATTTTTTAGAATTCAGGCAAAATTAAAACAGAATGAAATGAAAAAAATCTCAAGGGTTCAATTCATGAAGTTTTGACAAATAGGAAACTACAAGCAATGCCCTGCTCAAGATAAAATATTCTCATGACCCCAGAAATTTCCCTTCAGCTTGATTCCAGTCAATTTCCACTCTTTATGGCAACTACTGCTCATTCTACCTACATATAATATTTGTCTATTCTCAAATTTCATATAAATGGAATCATAAGAACATAATATTTGCCTGGCTTTTGTTCAGCACAATATTTTTGAGACATATCCACGTTGTTGCATGAATCGGCCATTCAGTTTGTTTCACTGTTGATAGTATTATTATATAAGTCACAATTTGTTTATCCTTTCTTTCACCTATGGACATTAAGTTTGTTAAAAGCTGTAGTGGCTAATGTTGCCAACAACTTTCTTCTACAAGACTTGCTGGGGTATGTTTTCATTTGTTTCAAGCAAATACCTAGGGGCACACTTTTCCAAATCATTAGGTCAATTTTAACTTGGTAAGAAACAATTGTACCATTATATGCTGTTATGGCTTGTGTCTAGATGTCCCCCAAAGCTTCATGCAGTCATAGGTACAGCTTTTTCAGAGGTGGTTGGATCTAGAGTGTGTGACACTGAGACTGATTCATGGTGTAATGCTGGGATCAAGGGAACTAGGACTAATGCGTGTGAGTTCTGCCTGCTCTAAGTAGCCTGGATAAGATAGAAAAGATAGAAAAGAGCTGTGGTCATTGCTTGCTTGGTTTGCTACCTTCCCCTCTGCCACGCCACCCTGTCTTGGAGCCAGCGGATTATGGACTGAAACCACTACAAACTGTGAGTTACACGAACTTTTCCTCTCAATGGATGTTGAGTTATTTATTTCAGCAACGAGAAAAGTAACCAAAACCCATGTCCACAGGTAATGCATAAGAGTTCTAGTTGTTCACATCCTTGATCCTTGTCATTGAGTGTTCTCAGTTTTTCAAAAATTTTAGCAGTTCTCAGACGTTTAAAGTGGCACCGCATAATGGGTTTTATTTGCATTTCACTGGTCATTAATGTTTAACGCTTTTGGAAGTGTTTGCAGTTGTGTATCTTTGTTAAATACTTGCTCAAATCTTTGCCCATTTGTTTGATACATGTATATGTTAAGAAAAAGAATATTATTGGCGTTGTTATTTGAAGGCCATTGATATTTGCTAACATTCTTAGTGGATTTAAAATAGAACCATTTATGAGGTGTGGTCAGCAGAAAAGATAATGACTGAAATATGGAAAACGTCTTGAATATATAGTTAGATAACTTTAAATAACTTTATTTATACTTTATTCATTATGCTTACTACATGTCAAGCTGTCTGAAGGTGGGATTGTGTCTCCTCAACTGACTAAAAGGCAGATCTTTACAGGGAGAAGACAAAGAAAACCCACATCACTGATTCAATTAATACAGGACTGAGCCAGGGACCAGTGCAGCAACATGCAGCTGAGGTTTCTACTCCTATACTTTAGATGCTGTCAGCACACAGGGAGACTAGTTTGAGTTCGCACATGAGAGCCTGGGAGCCTGGGGAACTGGCCTGTGAGGGCTGGGATGGGCATTTTGCTTTATGTTTTAACCTAGCATATAAGCACAGTACTGCTCACCCTGGCCTAAATCATCCTGTGCTTATTTTTAATGCAGATATCTAGAATCCACTTCGGATCCAGCCGTGTCAGAGTCTTTGCGTGTGGCACCCAGCATTCAACGTTTGAAAAAAAGCCTTCTTTGACTGAGGTACACCTAACCTGCAAGGATCCAATTTACAATCACAGATATGCCTGGCTGGCTTTAGGGACAGGAGTCGACAGAGTTGCTGAAAACACTACATTCACTTTTAATAAGAGTCTCTTTTCTCCTAAAATACAGTATAGGCCAGGTAATTTCGGGCCTAGCGGGTGGAAGGGCCCCGGCTGGAGGCCCCTCCCCGCGCACGCGCTCCGGG